TTTCCTTAGCCTTATCTGCATGCTTCAAAAACCTTCTTTGGTAATATGTATGTATGAATATATATAAGTTTCTATTGCAAATGGAATAAAATCTGCTCTAACATTGGGTTGGAACTTTTTTTTTTTGCTAACATCCACTAATTAAAGGGAAGAAGAAGAACAAATGGAGAAAGAAAAGAAGTAATACAAAATATTGTACTTATTGGAATGTGTTTAAAGCATTGAAATATTACTAAAAACTATTATTTTGATATATAAATTTAAAACAAAAAGAATAAAAATCTGTAAAATCTTAAACCGTAATGATCATTTTATTATCGGGCCAACACATTTAAAAGGAAAAAAATTCAATAAAATTATTATATTGATAAATAAGTATGTATTCTATCCATTTTTCACTGGATTTTATAGAAGAAATTTTTAATTACTTTTAATTTTATTAATAACAGAAATAATTAAATATTTATTGGCAAATAAGTTAAACATTTATTAAATCCTTTTATTGCAGTAAACCCTCATTAACTCTTTCGCACTGAGAGAAGACCAAATCTCTTTTCCTCAAACATCGAAAACGTCCGTGTATACGAACTTCTGTTGGAATGCTTTTCCTTCCCCCATGACAAATTGAATATTATAGCACTAGCCATAACCTACTTAAGTAAAGTGACAACTTCTTTCTTGGACGATTTCACCTTGTGTGAAGTTTCCCCTTGGGATGGGATTGCAACTTTGGGAATCAATAGCTAAAGATTGACAGTAAACAAAGGAAAAAGAAGGTGCATTACTTCTAGACATTTGAAAAGAATGATTGACATGTCATTTAACAACTCCTGAAAGCAATGAGCAGTGCGGTAACATGATGGGGGAAAGCACTAGATAGGAAATTATTCAGGCGTTCGGGCGACTTGCCGCTGTCTGAATGCTCGGGTGTTTGGGGTGACTTCAATGAGTTAATATGAATCCCAAGGGGCCGAAAAATCAAGAGTTCATATAAAAAAATATTTTTTTTGTTAACTAAAGACTCAAATTTTATTTTTGGAACAGGTTTCTACATATTAGCTATTTACAGTATATGCGTACACACATACTACAGTTATTATGCATGCCATCATAGGAAACACTACAGTACAACAGTATATTATGTATGTCATAAAAGAAAACACTACAGTACTACATTAATTACTACACTGTAACTTTAAAGAATGCACTCGTAGATCATTTTCTGGTGAAATATTTCTGTGTATTGCACCGTCAAAGATGGGATCAAAAATCCCTGGTACTCATGGCTTTCATAAAACTAGTGATCAAGTCTATGTTGCAGCAAAATATTCTAAAGTGTTCAAGGCATGTAACAATTCCTGGCAGATGGCAGAATGATATTTTCTTCTGATGGCATTTGTGGCATCTCAAACACAACTGCTTGTACATCAGATTCCATTGCAGCGCACATGGCAGCATTGTCATCTGAACTAACAAACTCCAAAACTAACACCAGGATTCACAGTATCTTGTAGAGTATTCCATTCGTCAAATGAAGTGATATCATTGTCACCATCTAACTTGTTAACAAGATACTGTCTCCAAGCTCTGCTAAAACATTTCTGTACGTATTATGATGATACAGATTTCTAGGATGCAGAGGTAGCTTTTATTGCATTAAGCACACTCAAAGTTAGCAATTCTATTACATTTTCAGCAGCATATATTGTGGGTCTCACAAGTCACATAAGACCTCTTCATAAAAGCAATAATGCCTCACCCAAAAAGCTGAAACCATGTTGCATTTGGGAGAAAAAGTTAACCTTTACGTAGGTTAAGTTCAGATCATGTATGTTACTGGCTGTATTGCTCTTCAGTGTCATAAGAACATGTGGCCCACCAGTAACGTCGCTGAACACTGGTAGTTCAGTCCGAGGTTCGAATCCCGCAAACGAGCTGGCTGCATGGGCGTTTTCATGGTTTTCCCCATGTGTAACGTGCATACCAGCCAGTTTCATTTAGAAAGTCCTCCACGAAGGCATCCCTCCCTTAAGGCAGATAGCCCTCGAGTGCTTTGCCGTAATCTAATAAAACCAAACCAAACCAAACCATAAGAACATGCTTATTCTGAGCCATCATTCAACATTAAAAGACACTTATGAAATGATGAGCTGTGGATCTAAGCTTTCTTATAATAAGAATAGGTGTTTAAACTCTTAAAACAAAGGCGTTTCTTAGAATTATGGATCAACCAAAAATTGTGTTTATCTCTGCTGTTTGCATTACATGCAGGACAAGAGTTAAACATTGTTTGTTGTGTGCTTGTCTGTGATATTTATCATCTTTTATTCTAAGGGTACAACTTGGGAATAGATTGCAAAAAAATCCAGTTTCTTTCGAATTGTACACATCAAAGGAAGCATATCTTTCTCTCAGTCGAATTCATGCCACTAGTTGTTTTTTCTTTCGTGATCAACTTCATTTACTACATTACAAATCACTAATGATGAAATTGAGTGTCTCTTTTGGAACTGGTACAGACAACCAATGGAAAAATTGAAAATTTGAATGTCTAGATTTTTTGCGATCTCATTTGATTTTAATGGAACTTTTGGTCTACTTAAAGGTACACTGGAAGCACAGATATGGTTGAACCATTCTAGAAGTAAAGTTTTAGCATTTTCATATTTAGCACTGCAAAGTTGCTTGGATTTGTTCTCAGAACCCAATGTAGCAGTATTAAGAAAATGTTCAATATCTTTAATTATTAAGGATAAGGTAGATTTGGCAATTCCATACTTTTTGGCAACTGTACTCTTCTTCAATACATCATATCTACTTCCTCAAGGATTTTTAGTTTTGTTTGCAGATGACCAATTCCTCTTTGCTTCCTCTTGTCCATGATTCCTTCTCTTACTGCTTGCAGCTTAATGTTAATTGTTACTTCCTGAAAGCGCCATCTACAGGACATTGAAAGTTCATGTTAAATGAAAAAATCTAATGATGCAACAGACTGAAAAACAATTCGTAATTCATGCTAACTGGAATTTGCATCAACCAATAAAAATTCCAATAAGATCATATGCAGTGCTGCAAGTTTTGTTCAAGTTAACCATGAGTTTGCCTTATGCAAATTCATGTTAAGGGGGTTTACTGTATTATAAAGCTTCACAAGTAAATTCTTAGAAAAAAAAAAAAAAAAGAAAAGAAAAGAAAACAGAAGTTCTGTATCTCCTGTTTTACTGCGCCGAATAGTGAAATTTAATTTACTTTTCATATTGTAATATCTTGTTATTTAATAAATTTACTTATTATTTAATAAATTTATTGTTGAAGTGGCAACGTCATATTTGTATTATGTAACCGTTGCTCAGCAACGTGAGAAATTTTTTTTAAAAATTAGATTCTGAAGTTTTGCCACTAAAGAATTTCTTCAAATTATCTATCTCCGTGAACTAGAAATAAAATTTATGTGCTAATAAGAAGATTGCCTGTTTTGCCAATTACTGCAAAATACATTACAATATCTTGAGAGCTCGATTTATGATATATATTAGATTTATACACAGCATTATTCTAGCATAGGTATTTTGACAGAAAATCGGACTTTTCCTGAAATGGCATACTGATTTTTTTCTCCATATTGCAATTCTAAAACTACAATTATGCCTCAATATTAAATTTTGTAACATTTGGTGAGAAACTTATTGAGAAAATTTTAAATTTATCTTGGCACATGTTTTTCAGTTTGCATCAAGAATAATTCTTAATTTATGCTAACATATTTAACTTTTCCTTTCATTCGGCAAGAATGGAAAAAAAGGAGCCTTATTCACTCTTTCAAATAATTTTAACAAAGTGCATAAACCACGTTTGGTGCTATTATCGCTCTTAACAAACATGCCAAATTTCAAAACAAATATATAAACTCACATATATTTTTGGAAATTGTGAATAAAAAAATCTAAATTTTTTGCAATTATGTCTAAAAATACATTTACTTTAAGGCGACTACAAAAATATTACATCATAATTCAACTTTTTTCCCAAAAAAATTTACAAAAATTACTAAAAAATAAAAACTTTAAAAATAAATTAAAAAATATCAGTGAATTTTATTTGGATTGAAACTACGTTTTGAACTGTGAAAGAAGGAATCAATAACATTTAATAAAAAAAACGGAGATATTAGTAAATATATAGCCCACTCAATGAACATTTTGGAGCTAAAATTCGGAGAGCTATTTTTCGACCAACTACACAAATTGTTAACACATTATTTAAATGTTTTGTGATGTTTACATGAAATGATTCATAGAAAATAATATTGAAATATGCTGAGTTAATTCATGAATTTTGCATCTTAATGCACTTGCTCACAGTGCCCTTACTTTTCATGAATTTTGAGACAAAAATTATTAAATAAGGCTCCACAACACACCCAATATTCACCATGTGAGTGACCTCTCTGTATTCATCATAATAGCCATTTTGTGGTAATCATATTGAATCCATTGATGTAATAAAAGACAATTTACTGCAAATCCTGAAAGATTTCATGAAAACAACTTTAAACTTATTTGAGATGAAAAATGGCATGAATTCACTGCAGCCAGAGGTGATTATTTTGAAAGAGATGTAATAACCATCAACAAATGAATAAATTCTTGTGTTTTATGGAATCATTCTTGATATTTTTATCATTTAGTAGTACACCAGCACTGCTTTCTTCACATAAACACAAACCAAAATAAATAAATATGTAAATAAAAAGTTCTACAACAGTTGTTTAAGAAACATACAAGAATATGCTCAGTCTTTAAAATCATGATTCCAAAAATATTAAAACAGGTTTAATAATATCAGCAAATTTAAGACACAAGTCAACTGAATCCAGTTTCTAAAATGTTTATTATAAGTTAAAAGAAATTGTTTAAATTTTAAGCGATTATAAATTCTGATGCAAGAAATACATAATTTTTCAATAATTGTGAATAATAATCAAAATAAAAATGAAAATGCAAGATTTCATAAATGATTTTATTTTAAAACCATAATTTAAAAATTTTAAATACAATTCAGAGAAACACAAATGCTGTGTCAGATCATTACATATTTTCTATACAGTTTTCTACTTCAAGTATCCTTAAATATTTTTACAATACATTAGGTTTTACACATTATTTTGTTCTAATATTACCTGCCTTGTGACACGTAACCTTCAGAATTATCAGGCTCTGTAGAGACATACTTTTCTCTTATATCTGCTATTTTTGTATCTTCAAAATCTGCACTCATAGCGCAGGATAAGAGATTCTGAATATTTCTGTTCTCTTCATTAATTCCAAATACATAACCATTAGCTTTATCTGCAGCCTGAAGTACTTTGAACATGCTTTCTTTACTCTGAAATCATAATAATTATAACTCATTTGGAAATACTTAAAAGACAAGTATAACTTATCCTGCAACTTTACAATTATATTTTTAATGAAGATATTAGAAATGTAAATAGCAGAATTGTGAAACTAAGGAAATAATAGAACTGAAAATTTTCTATCCTTTTTATTTTAAAAACTGCAATTTTGATTAAATAAACCCAAAAACAATAGTTAACTTGATAATATAACATGTATTTCAGAAGGATCTGACAGTCATTTACAAAGAAAGGCTGACAAGAATATCTCTTTCAATTTTACATTCACTCTTGAATTACGTAGAAATCTTTCTCTATATTCTAATCTTTATCCACAACATCTAAATCTATTGATTGCAGTTTATAAATACAGTAGTATGAATTCAGTACAAGATGAAAATTAAGGTCCTCTGTAACTGAGATTATCATTATTTCTATGACCTCAATAACTGAATTATCCCTCTTTTATTGAAATTACGGAAAAAAAGTCCAATTAATTTCATACACAGAAAAACAGAATATATAAAAGATATTTGGTAATGCAGTATCATTTTATGACTTTTCAAAATTTCAAAGTTCTGCTTTCCTAATTTCAAAATAATCAATTATCAGAATGAAAATATAAAGTAATAAATAATTAAATACAGATAGAATATTAATTTACATATAACTATTCATTTGTCAGTTTTCCTAACTATATTTATTATTTACAGCCTGTACTTGCTAATGCTTTTAAGAAAGGTTACCTAACAAGATAAATATTTTTATTGACATATATAGCCAAACTAGTGGAATTCTTAAAACTATCTTATTGCAGAAATATGCCTCACACTGTATTTGTATTCATGCAGTATAAAAGAATATGTATTTGATTTAGCATGAGTACATAGAAGAAATATTAATATACTAGCATGAATAAACAGATGAAATATACTGCACAAAAGACACATAAACAAGATATTTGTATTGCATGCATATTGTTTGTAGAGTAAAAGTTTCATCTGACAATCAATATACTGACTACCAAGTAAACATATAAAACAGGTAGCCCCTCCCGCAAGAAAACAGTTCCATTTCTATATCTCTCACAACAACAGTATTAACCAAACTGAATCAAAGTTTAATAATTCTAAATAGCTGAAATTTTTGTCACAAACTCTATTATATTAGGAAGTTTCTTTTTTAACCTAATATACGTAAAGAGTTTGATTGATGATTTAACTTCAAAACAGAAACTCCAAATCTGGTAAAACACCAAGACAGTAAAGCCATTTGAAAAAAGTAGGACAAAATGTCATCAAAAACTTGCATTTCATATTTAAGAGTTTTTTGTTTTTTTCCCTACATTATTTAAAGAAATTCATCATTTAATTTTAACTGATATTATTCACAACTAATGCTCTCTATAATGATTACACATTACAGCTCCTGCTCCATTACAATGACTGGTGTGTGATAAGGTGGCATAAAGGTTCTTTGTCTGGGATGAGTTTTCAGAGTGCAACAGTTTTCATATCCAGAGTGAAATCCTTTGCCTTTGTTAATGATTCTGGTGCAGCCTCGTGGGTCCCAACAGTGGACAAAGAGGTAAAAGAAGTCTTTGCATCAGGGTCACGAGATGGACACTTTGTTATGTATGCATGAAAGAATGTTTTCCCTCTCGGGAGTTCAGCGCAAATAAACACAGGGAGATATATAAGATGGTTTCCTGAGAAGATTGGACAATTTTTCCTGTTTAGAGATATGGGCATATTGGCTGCTAAGAATGATCATGCCTCGTGGATAATGAGTTAGAGCATTTTTCCTGTAACAAAAATCTGAAATTACAGGACTAAATATATCTAAGTTCCATATTGTCAAGATATGCAACTATTAAGGTTATCTTATTAAAATTCATGTTATTGTTAAAACTTGAGTTAGAAGTTCATTTCAACCTGGTGTTACAACCCAGGGTTTGCGTAGCGGTTTCGGCCACTACACCACAGGTGCAAAAAGCCAAAAACAGTTCCCCAAAAGCTATTTTACTTTTACAATCTCTATAATGACCTTTTAGAGTCCTTTATTCTAACATCATGTTTTAATTTAACTCTTCATATGAATTTTTTCCCAAATATTATAACTATAATTAACATAGCCACCAAAGCCTGCTAATGGTAACAGATATCATGGGGTTTACCCTGTATTTGAGAACTTCTTAGAATGCATTCAAAAAGGAAGTATGAACAGCACTGATCTCAGCACAGAATATAATCCCCAGGCCATTCACCTTTGTTTTGATGGAAAAGAATAAACAGACACCAGAATTTAACTTTTAAAGTGAAACTCGAAGGTATAGCATGAGGGTTGTCAACAAAGTGGGAATGCTGTCAGCTTTTTATTTATCACTTAAGTATTTAATTTTAATTTATGAATATAAAAACTATTTTTATTCAGGTTTTGGTATTTGTCAACATTTCATACACTTTTTTTGTTTAATCTGTAAAATACAATAAAAAATTATCTAAATTTAAATAAATGTATACGTATTTTTATATTGTATATGTGTTTTAGAAAGGGGGAATAATCACTTAGCAATGGTGAAAGGAATGCATTGGGGGGGGGGGAGAAGTAAAGAACCACTGATACAGCAGTCACAGCTATTTTCATTTGTCACTGTCTTAAAAAATAGTTGTTTCAAATAAATACACCGCAATAACTTTGGATGCAAAATTAAAAGCTTAACTAAAAATTTTTTTTAAATACCAAATCACTTCAATTCAGAATCTTCAAAACTGTGACATTTATAACCATAAAAACCAGAATCTGATTTTGAGGAACAAAAAATTAGGTACCCTCCTCTGCATGGTCAGTAACAAGATGGAATGTTTCAGTAACACTGCATGAATGACTAAAATTAATGCAATGATAATTATTTCAATAAATAAAAATTTGATAAAGTCCAAAATGTTATAGAAGAAATGGATATTTATAAAGAAACATTTTAAGCTTCAGATGAAGCACTTCCACACATAATCATTTCATAATCTAGAATCTTTTGTGGAGCAAGTGATTCTTCCAACCAAAAAAAAAAAAAACATCGATGCATAGAAAAAAGAACAAACTTCAGAACATAACTGACAAACATGCTCCAGTAGATATATTTAATGTGATTTTTTTTAATGACACCTGATATGTCTTTGATTTTAAAGATGAAAACTAAAAATGGAGAAAAAGAAGCTAAATACTCTTATGTGCCAGTATGAGAAACATCCACTTTTGGTAAATGTTAAATCCAGAAATTGTGTTTCAAAGCCAATCAAATCTTTTCAGTAATAATGCAAAATCATGTTTGATAGCAAGCAATTTCTGAAGAATAGAATAATAGGCCTACCAGTGGCCAAGTGGTAAAGTCACTGAACGCTGGTAGTTCGGCCCAAGGTTTGAATCCTGGCAAACAGGTTTGATGCATCAGCATTTTAATGGTTTTCTCCGTGTGTAACGAGTACAGAAGGCATTTGTTACTGTATTCTGCAGAGAGAATTTCATTGAAAACCTTAATTTTCATACAGCCAAAGAAAGTATACTAAATTCATCTTTGCTATAGCAGTTATTATGTCTTTTTTTTTTTTTTTTTTTTTTTTTTTTTTTTTTCCCTGGGGAGTAAGTAGGTAGGCCTTTTAATAACCACCCAACTACAATTTTCTTTTCCCAAACCAATTTAATGACCATATGGATGACCCATTATCTCACTCATGGGCTAAAATGGAATCCTAGACTATTGCAAACTTACATTAAAAGAATATAATACCAACAAAAGCAAAAGTTAAAGTGTTTCAACTACTGATATAGGTGACAAAATGCAGTATAAGGGTATAAACCACTCAGGAAAGAGCTATCTAATATTAAGTAATTTTATCATAATGCACCTCTAAGGGAAACAATATCACAGAAAACAATAACAAAATTGCTTTGATTCCAAAAGTGACTACTTTTAATGATGAAGCTACAAAGTACATTTGCAATGCAACAGTTGTTAGCTTCCTGCAATAACTTGCTTGAAATGAGATACAGAAACTGAGCTTTGAGGTCTGCGTAAGAACATACAAAAATTTCTGAAGGGAAAAATATAGTACTAATTCTCCCACACTCATTGTAATCAGTTTATCTTTGAAGACTGTTTTTATTTCCTTTGGTGAAAGAAAAGTCAATACAAAATTATCACTACACTAGGAAGTTAGCAGCTTTGAACAAATTATAAGAAGCATTAAAAAAAAGTACTAATACTTTGGTAATCTTATAAATAGTTTTGTGCATGACATCTTAAGTAATGTGTTCTAGGGAAGCTTTGAAAAAATTAATAACTATTTCCTTTTTGCCGGTTTAATTTCATGAATATCTCAAAACATGAGAGCCCTGTATTCATAACAATGTAAAACTATATTCATACCAATACAAATTTATTACAGATTCCCTTTTCCTATATTATACCAAATTTAGCTGCTTTCAATATTTTATAACTACAGGACTCTGGTAAATTATATTTTGTCTGGTTAAAAAAAAAAAAAAATATTCACCTGAAGATAAAAAATAATTATGAAAAAATTTACAATCAATTAGCAATTTTTATACCTATTACATCAAATATAAGAAAAATAATAAATATTATGAAATAATAAAAAAAAAAATTAAAAACAATTATATTAGCTCAATAATCATACGAATCAAATAAAACTGGAAGAGACTTTCTATCAAAAAAAAACCTCAGTTTAATTGGAACATTTCTATAAAAAAAAAAAAAAAAAAAAAAGTCAGAAGAAGTCATTATGGCATAATATGCAAGACATTTTAAATTTTAAATTCATGAAACACAATCATATCATTGAATTTTCAGTTATGATTCATGACTAAATTTTTATTAGTATTTACTATTGAAATTAAAATTTCTAGTAGTTTTGTCTGTTAAGTTTCAGACAATTTATTTCCTAATATTTCAATATAATAATAATTCGTAATATTCAATATAATATAATTCCTAATAATTCAATTTCTGTTTGCTATTTTATCGTCAAATCCATTCTCTGCATATCATTGCTGAAATATGGAAACAATTAAATTCTGTAATCATACCACTTGGAAAAATTTAGAGCATAATGAACAAATTACATCATTATGGAAATTTTAGAACTTAAATAAAAGAATGGATAGAAATAAATACTATTTATCATCAATCTGAACAGGGCTAACACACAGAGATTTTTATGACAATATATTAAAATTTCATACCTTTACTGTTAACAAATGGAATGATACAAGGCTGTAATTTTCAATAAGTTGCATTAGTGATTCATTCAACTTCTTGTACTTAGCCAGAAATGGATCATCCTAAAATAAAACAAGAAAATACTTTTGTTTTGAAGCTTTAAACTGATTTAATATAGAATGTTTATATGGTTATCATTTGAAATATATAGCTTCATAGTATTTGAAAGGGAATGTAAGCTATATTTTTATTGAGTTGAAATGTTATATTTATAATATTATTAGAGAGCGACTTTTTTTTTAACAATAAATTTACTTTCTCATGTACTGTTTCTACCATTTAACACAGCACATTAATATGCTTTAAGATTGAACAAGTGATTGAAAATACTGAATGAATGATTTAAAATTTATAACTGAAACCGCTCAAAGTGAAGAAAAGAATTTTTTGGCTCAATTCTTTGATTACTGATCATGCAGATAATTTTATATATTTTTAATCAGCATGTGTGATCTTGGTGCTATAAATGAAAATCTGAATTTGTATTTTTTTTTTTTTAAGCTGTTGGAGAGAAAAAGTAAAAAAAGCATGACTGGGTGGTGTGTGGACAAAATGTTGATTTCCAGGTCATATAAATGTCCAATTTGCGAAATGAATATAAAATTGTAGAACAAAACACTGTATAGATAATTTTGGGTGGATGTGTAGAATTACCCAAAGCATGTTAGTATTGAATTGCCAAAAAAGATTCATGGTTTGTGAAGAATAAATTGAATTAGAGTGGTGTTTTGCAAATAATGCATATGTGGTGCAGGAATGATTTTACACAATTTCAGTTAAGAATGGCTAAAAATACTGTGGCAGATTGGAAGAGTTTTTATTCATAGAGTTAGTTATATTTGAAAGAGAATGTAGTGTTAGATAGGGAGGTGTCATTGTGGAAACTGATGAAAATAAATCTGGTAAGTAAAAGCATTATAGAGAAAAAAAAAAGTTGAAGGGAAATGGGTGTTTGCTCATGAGAAAGAGGTAGAAAAGTGTTTGTTTAGAGTGATTGAAAGCAGAAGTGCTGAGTCATTTTTACAAATAATTAAAGCAAATATTCTGCCCGGATCATTTGCGATTTCAACTGCTGGAAAACATTCAGGTGCCTTGAGGTTGAAGGATTTAAGCATTAACATTTGAAAGTGAAAAAGAGTTTACACTTCAGAGATTCAAATACAGATATATTCTGCAAAAGCTGAGAACTGAAGGTAAGTTTTATTTATTTTTATCGGCTAAAGTGAAGTATCGGATGCATGCTAAATTTGGTGATTACACTGCTGGCGAATGATTTTATTCTGATAACCTGACTTTCTTAAAGAGTTATTATTCCAGAAATTTATTTTTTTAAAACTCAGATCAGTAAAGCTGTGGGATATTTCCCTCTAGGTCACTTGCTCTCTATTGTTGACAGCTATTTATTTTTAAAACAACTTATTTTTAAATAGTGAAAAAAGGAACTTTTATTTTCATCATGTTGAAGGATACTTTGAATAATGTATGTTGATACTGTTTTCTGACTTATGATACATATTGATAGTTTGATGATCTTTAAAGAGTCATGAAAATCAAAAACATGCACCTGAAAGTAACTTTTGCATCATTATTTTAATACAAAATGTTTGCTATTGTAATCACACTTGATTATATTTTCTAGTCAAAACACTGCATATTATAACAAATTTGTGGCTTTTTATTTTTGCATCTTATTTCGCTTATTGTGAGGAATTACATATTTGCCAGTTATTGATGTATGGAATATTTGTTATTGATGTATGTGCAAAGACAGTATAACACCATTAGGAATCTAAAAAATAGTGAAATAAAAGCTGTGTGTGATATTCATTTGGTTTAAAAAAATATTTTTCTAATTTTCCTCAACACATTCATTCTTAAAATTTTATAACTTAATGAATATTGTCTATTAATAGCATATAAGGGACTGTGACATTGTGTAATAATAAAATCATCATTGAAATCATTTACAATTAAAGGGTTCTATGATGTAAATTTATATTTAAAAAAAATTGTTCTCATTTGTATTAATCGCAAAGCTTAAAAATCTTTGAAAATATTAAGACTGTCTAAAATACAAGTATGCAAGACTGGAATGTTGTTTACTCTTTTAATAAATGGTAGAACTGTCATGTGAATCTAAAATCAACAATTTATTATTCTTATTTTCAGTAAAGCCAAAGCTTGATTGTTAGAAGTGTAAACCTAAGATAAAGAATTTTAATGTTAATTTATAACAATAAACAACTAGTTATTGTAATTTTCAGTAGAAAACACTAAATTATATACAGTATAATATGTTAAAATACACTGTGATATCATAAACTTGGTCTAATTATTTATTATGTCACTAAGCTGAGCCTTCACAATTTGTTTATGCAGCATATTCTGAGCTTTCACAATCTATTCAGCCAGCACCACTAATAAATCAGTATTCACTTTACGATTCAGTGAATCCGTCAACTTTTTTTTAATTAACTATCTATTACATACATCAAGATGTGAAACATTACATAACAACTAGAAAACTATGAAATTTTTTAATTAATTATCTGTTACATACATTAACATGTGAAGTGTTACATAACTACTAGAAAACTGGAAAACTAGCCACATCCACTGAAACATAAGATCAGTATTTTATGTATGTTTAAAATATGATTATTTTTAAGGCAAATTGTAAATCAATTCTTAGTTAATAAAATTTTCCTTTTGCATATGGAAAGAGTTCTGAAGTTACTTCTAATCTCATGGTATTTATTTCACAAATAGGGGAATAAAATTTTTATTTTTAAGTGATTTCAATAAAAGAAAGCTTAATGCAGCTGAAAACGGTTCCCTCTCTTAAGAATCCAAAATCAAGTAGACACAGCCCCAATGAAGTTTCATTACAAATAAAAAAATTATTTTGTTTCATAGTTGGATATGTTGCTTCATTTCAAATTAACCTAAAAATTGAAAGAAAATTAATTTTAAAATGCACAAACCGAAAGTAATGCAACTAATTCTGATAGATCCAGGACTTCAGTGTAGAAATCAAGATTAAAATGAAGTTTTCCTTGTTTCTCAATCAGGTCAACTTTTGAAAGAACATTCACATGTGGCATTTCCACTATAAAAGAAAAAAGAAATATTTCTGAGAATAAGCACTGAAAGATATTATACTATGTTAATACATTTTTTACTACTAATATGTTATATAGAATATTACAATACTATAATTCATTTATATATTTCATTACACATATTTAGTCCCTTTTAAAATTCCCAATCTGGTCTAAATGAAAAATCAGATAGAATAGGTAAGGCAGTAAATGCATCAGTATTCAGTATGTTAAAAATAAATAAATAAACTGAGCATCAGCATTAATTACCATCAGGTAAAAGACACTCTTATTTGTAAACTAAATCTGAGCAAAAGAAATATTATGCATTATATACATAAATCAAAAATACAAAATAAAACTTCCAAAATTCCATTTTCTTGCCTTTAAAAATTTATCTTTTAAATTTCATTTAATATTTTTGAATTTATTTACCTTTTAAAGCTATGAAAAAAGCCCAAGAGAAAAATTTTGTACTTTTCTGTTTACCATAACATATTTTCCTAGCATAAAAATAACAATGGCACACAGCACAAAAATTTTAAAATCATGAATTAAAGTGAAAAAAAGACCATTAATAAAAATATGAAAATCAGATATATATCACATATGATATATAAAACTCAGTAAATATTAAGTTGCAGTAAATCCATTTAGCCAATCTATCTTAACCAAGCTGAATTTCTCTACATTTCCTTTCCTCAAAAATTACTAGCTTTATCATTCATTTTAATGGAATATGGGATGAGGAAAATTATAAAATTTTCACAACTGAAAGATTTATTACTTTAATATGTTTCAAAAGTACTTCTGTTCAGTTCTGAGATAATAGTACCAGTCAAAAAAATAATGCAGGTCAAATATTTGAATAACTCCAGAAACTAGAAATGATATTGAGAAAAAATTATTTTCATAAAGAAAGATGACTGTTTATATTAATCAAGAAATATAGAAGTAAAATTAAAAACTATTTGTTGTTCATACAGGGGGATATCAATGAATTTTTGATTAACAAACTCAATGGTTTAAAAGGAATCTGTTGCCACTGCTTGAAATAAAACACTTTTATCTTCCACGCACCAGTGTTGCCATTTGGCAAGGTGCATGATATTTATCCAACAAACTTGGTTATTTAAAACAATATGTTGTCATTATCAGAACAAAAATAATTATATCTTTCATGTGCTAGTGTGTTGCCATTTGACTGTAACATTGATGGCAACACACTGTATAATTGTTGCCATGAGTATTACAACTTTTGAAAGATATTTAACTTTCAAATTTAATCTGTCTATAGCTGATTAAAAAACTAAGCAATTTAATAGTAACAATAGTTCTTAATAAAATTTTTTTAACTCAACATATGAAGTTTCCACTACATATACGTAAGTTGTTAACTCTCTGCAAGTGAAAAAATATTTTAGAAATATAACATTGGGAATGGTATACTTCATATATGCAATGGTTTAATGCATATATGTAATGGGTAATACTGCATAATGAAGTTAATGCTTTATTTTACAAATTTATTCATTTGTGTTGAATATATATACTACATTACTATATAAGTTACAGCTGAAGAATCCAAAGTTCTAGCTTTTAAAATACATGTCCAGTTTTTTAGGGCAAAATCTTACTTGCGCAAGCAAAAATGATGGCATCCAACTGTCTACATCAGTGGTCTTTAAACTGTGTTCTGCGGAACCCCAGGTTCAATAAGTTAAATCTCACGGTTCAACAATTCAAAATAAAAATTCAATATATGTCAAAGAGAATGAAGTGCAATGTTTTGCAAATTTAAACAGCTTTTTAACAGAATATGAATTACATTTATATGTCAGTGTTAAAGATTATATAATGGAACACCTTTTTCAGTTGAAGAAACCTATAAAAAAAAGGTTTCCTAGAAGATAAAACTAAGTGCCACTGGATATAAAATCTGTTCAAACACTATGATAAATCAGAAGACTTGCCAGTGGGAACAACTTACTGGCATATCAACAGATTCGACATTAAATCTAAATTTAGGCAAGAATAAGTCCTAATTTTTTATTGCAGATTCATGTAGAATACTCAAAAGTTTCTCACACAGCTATAAACATTGTAATGCCATTAGGAGCAATGTATTTATGCGAAAAATCTTCCTTGATATGTGTGGCAACAAAAGCAAATTACAAAAACAAATTAAATGCAGAATGTGAAATGCAACTGCAGATAACAACAATGGGGACAGACTTAGACAATTTATGTAAAGAAATGCAAGCACACTCCAGTCACTTAATATAATTAAAGGGTAGGTGACACCTGGAGTCTGAGTTAATTACAGTACAAAATCTGTAATCCGGATATCCATAATCCAAAGTGATCAAGTGATCTATAATGCGGACCTCAAAGCTACAAACTTTATGCGCATATGAATTTATGCATGCGCATATGGATTTATGCATGCGTATAATGTGTTTACGCATCCACGTTTAATGTATAAAGGATGGTATAAGCTAGGCTAAAATTATCTAAGACATTTCAGTTAACGTTGCAGATTGCACTGTTCCTTAATCTTCTAATTGGACCCGGCTTATTATTTTTTGCAGAACAATTTTATAAAAATTAAGCTTGAACTTTCGATTATGTCGAAAAGAGTTTCCAATTCTGGAGCTGCCAAAGGATCTACAAAGCGAAAGCATGTTTTCGATTCCATTAAAAAAAAAAGTGGAATTGCAAAAAAATGGACAAAGGCCTATCCGTCTCAAAATTATGCGAGAAGTATGACATTGGAAAGTCAACTATAATGACACAAGAAAAAGGAACTTTCTGAATTTTTTGTGGAAGCATCTTAACAATTACATTGAAAGAAATGTTTATAAAGTAAACAAATAAATATTTAAGCTTTTTTTTTTTGTAAATTTTGATACTCTTTAGATCATAACTGTTATTTATTTCATAAATTATAATTTCATATTTTTAATTGTATCATTTCTGCATGCCACCTTAGATTTAAATTGATGATCTATAATCCGGAAAAACCCTAATCCGGAATATCGCCAAGGTCTCGAGGAGTCCGGATTACGGACTTTGTACTGTATATTAATTTTATGTTAAAACTTTTTAATAAAAAATATACTTTTCTTTAAATCTCTTTACATAAAGTACCTATGACATATTGATCTACTTTAAACATTATTAGCCCAAAAGGAGTTATTAGTCTTGAAATGGGATTTTGCGTTGGTTCCCTATAAACGGTGTATCACTTTTCAAATTGTTGCCAGTTAATATTATTGCCTATATTGTCTTAATTATAAAGAATTAATTGTTTTAATTATAAAGAAATTTAAATAATGAAGAATCTGCCTGTATGTATGTATGTTCCTCACATTGTGGAAAAAAACGATGGTATCTAGAGCTATCAAATTTTGAATAATGTAGTCCTCAACCCGTAACATATGTCACCTGGAAGCCCGAATTTGGAATTTCTAATTTGTTTTATTATTTATTTCAGATTTTGTAAAACTTTAATGATTTAGGTAAGCAGGTCACATGATACAAGCACCAGGGCATAGTTTGATCCTGTGTGTACTATTATGGGAATTCAGAAATGACTTAGGACATCTCTGATAAGAAGTGGGGTGTCCTGTACTATTATAACTGATACATGTTGGTTCATCAATTTTGCCCCTATTTGAACAGTCAATGGTTCTATGAGATAGTGCACATTTTACACATTTGGGCTTGAAATAACAGTTCTTAGTAATGATGCCATTTCTGTCAGTTTTTGCATTGAGGTATTTGATTTTTTTTTTTTTAATGTATTTTTTCACAGAGACTGAAAAGAGCATCAAATCTTTGATGTTCTAAATTTTTCCTTCTGGATGACATTGATTAAAAACAGAGGCGGAGCCTTAGGTTTCCTACATGTGAATTGAGACATTCTTTGTACTGAGAAACTTCTATGTGTGAATGCAGTTGTTATTTTATTTTTATCTGTTCTAGCGGATAGTCCATGGCTGACAACTTTGATTGGTTTATTATACTTAGCATTTAATACATAGCGCTCAGTGAGTTTTTCTTTGAATAGTATGCTAAGTGTCCTACGATCTTCTGCACTATATGATAAGATGTTTAGATCCTTGCCATTTAACTTCCCAAGAAATTTGGCTTCTGTAGATTGTGATAGTTGACTTCAGACATTAATATGCCAGGATTTACCATGATGGGGGAAATACCTGGATTTTTAATATTCTGTTGTTGCTGCAGAGGTTGAGCTGCTGGAGTTAGGTATCATTTTCATCTTTATTTTCAGTGTTCAAATTTATTTTGACAAACTCAACCATTTGATAGTGAGCAGTGGCAACACTGTTCAAAATAAAACATTTTTAGCTCACATGACAGAGTGCTGCCATTCTGAAAAGTGTAAGATCCTCCAATTTTAATTAACAAACTTGCTTCTATGAAAGCAATGTGTTGCTGCAGCTGAAATAAAGTACTTTTATCTCCCATGCACCAGCATGTTGCCATTCAGTAAAGCATAAGACACTTTCAAATTTAATCTGGAAAATTACTGAGTAATAAACTAAGCAATTTAAAAAGAATAAACATAGTTTTAAGAATATTTTTTCCTACATTTTAATGTGATTGTTTTAAATATACATGTATTAAAACCATGAGATGTCTAATTGGAAGTGTTCAATATTTTTATGAAATTACACTAGCTGGACTCTTCACTAGCTTGATTAAAATCATTATATACTTTCTCATTTTTAGGATTTTGCCACTTTTGCAATATTTAGTAATTAAAGTTAACACATAAAAAGTTAATAATAAAAAGATAAAAGAACTTTTTTTACCCATTTTACTAAGAGAACTGAATACTGATATGATGAAGTGAGAAAAGATTGAAAAAGATATAAAAATATATGCCAAAACTTTACACTGCATCGGGAATTCTAAACATATGCTACTATGCAGCTTTTAAAAATTTTGTGATTTTGTTGTTCAACTGTATGTTGTGTAAGTGCAAAGAACACAATGCTTAATAACAAAGCTAAAAAGACCAAAAAAATAAGTGTTTATCTGGAATGTTTGCAAAAATAGATTGGTAGACTACGAGCTCAGCGATAGTGTAAAAAAAAAACTTAACAAACCCTTTTGGGCACCCATTAAAATCTGAAATCCTTCAGAATATTTTTAAGATATATTTTCTAAGGTTCGGATAGGATTCTCCAAAAAACAAAATCTAATAGTTGTAAGGGTTCAGTGAGTAATAAACTTTAATTTTTATTAATTTTACTTTAATTTATAACAGCAACTTTATATTTTTATGCTTTTTAAGATTTAATTTACATTAGAATAAAATAATGAAACATTTTTTGTAGCATCACATCTCTCTTGAAATTTTAGTCACCTCTCCTATTAAAACATAGATTATTTTTCAAAAAATGAATTAAATTTGAGGATCCCATGGAATACTCGACTTCGCAATGCTGATCTGCACAACCACATAAACTTGCATCTGGATAAAATATCAGATTAATACAAATAAAAATTTTAATGCATAATATGTTAAATACCTTAAGCATTTACAGTTTCTATTATTAAATAACAAAGAATCTGTATGTATGTATGCTTTTCCCAAATATAGAAAATTGCTAACACCTAGAGTTTTTATGGATTCTTAAAATTTTCAAAAGGTAACATCATTTTCTAAGCTATGTCTGTCATCAGATATTACAGAAATTTCAAAAGTTCCCAACTGCCTTAAATTTCTTTAAGGCAGTTCAAATCACTTTGAATATCAAATGACCTTTTACATTATTTTTAACTTGTATCAAATTATGTATGATATTATAAATTTCTGATGCATTATACACATGTTCTGTTCTGCTAACTTCAATTTAGTTTTTACCACTATTAATCATTCAGAAACTCTGCCGATTCTTTCTGTATCCATTTATAAAGTATCTGCAAGCAAATTTTTAAAGATTTTGCTATAAAAATTTCACTTTTTGTGATTTTCTGTACAAAATTGTTTGATAGAATCAGCCCAATAGTTTCTTTCTTTTTTTTTTTTTTTTTTTCCTTTATGTTTTTTAATAATATTATTAAGTTTATTAACCTTCTAGCACGTGTGTATGCGCAAAATTTACAACAAATTCCGTTTTTAATGCTCATATTTCGCATATCAAAGCTGAGACGTCTGAAGGTCATTTCTATTCCTCCTTTCTACCCTTCCCCACATCATGTGCCAACAGGAAGGCATTTGACTTTTTTTTTTTTTTAATTGGGCTTTTGTGCTACATGGCAGCTTTTTCATACAAGTTACGACATGCGAGTGATCCTGTTTTAAAATTCGGAAAATATTTTTTCCTCATATATTTTGTAATTTTGTGTTATTAATTGCCATGTATTATTTTAATTGGAATACATTTGGCTCTGTAAATTTTATATCAGTTTTCATGACAAAAAAACGTGCAACCACCTGATTTTGCTCGGATTCTTCAAGAATTATCTGATGAAGAAAAGGAAGGCAAAGAAACCTTTGGATGGGAGAACAATAGTGATTTCCATGCCTTATTTTCTTTTATTTCTATTTTTTGGAAATAAATAAGAACATTAAAGTTAGTTTAAAGTGCATTTTTGTAACCAGTAAGAAGTAAATTTCCTTACAGAAGTAAGTAATGCTAAACGTACTTTTTTTTCTACCAAGTTTTTCCTTTTTTTTATTGTCTATAATTGTCTTTGATGAATATTAAAATTAGCTTCGATTTTAAAATATAACTATTAAATAATAATTTAAAATTTTCTATAATGAAATACATCATTGTATTTCCATCTCACTAACATAAGAACTTGAAAATAATTTACTTATATTTGAATGTGATATCGTCTGTATTTTGCAATAATAAGATTAATATTTTATTTCTTAACAAATTTATCATCAATATTCACTCATTTCTGTCATTTTTTGTGCCAAAAACGGTATAATAACGGATGTCGTAAAAATACGACATGCGCACGCTTATGTAAAATTGCCAAGTGCGCGTGCTGGAAGGTTAACTAAAAAGAAATGGAACAAAATAAATATGTTAGGACATTGATCCATTTAAATTTACTAATTAAAAAGAAATAAATTAATTGCTTTCTTCTGGATAACGAGTAGTTTTATTTTATCATACTGCACACATATATTTTATTTGCATAAGAGCTCCACTATTCACCTGCAAGAGCCATGCTATGGCCACCCTGCGCACTAGGCTATCTAAAAGCAATATTGTTATGAATTTTGTATCTAAGTAGATAATTTTAGTGAAATTGTAGTATCTTTTTGTATAATGTAACATGAAAATCTAAAGAAGTGAAGCTTTGCCAGATAAGAATAAAGGGGCAAGTCTTAGCATTGAGTAAATATCTGTCTGGTTAATCTGGTGAGATATCAGCAAGGTGGCGATGGTTTTGACCACTAATTTCTGTCGCAAAACTTCAGGACATTTTGGTCTGGTCCCTGTATCACCGTAATGTGTATTGTAACTGAATAAATGGGTTAGAGTTGACTTTAAGGTACCCCTTGTATTATCGTGAAGTTGTTGCTTCATTTATCACCAAGTTGTTGTTTCATTTTTCGCCAAGTTCTTGTATCATTTATGGTAACCTGAGTAGTTCAATGTTATGGAAACCCTATTATGACGTAATCATTCTGGGAAATTTTGAATCATGGGATGTTTTGCAAATTGTTTTGTGGTGTGTGTTGCTTAGGAAGTACATTGCTTGTATCATTGTTTAGACGGTACAACGGCTGAATGTAGTAGGATTAATTTGAAGTTTCTGTATGATTTGGAAGGAAAGGGGAAAAGTGGATTAATTGAGTGAATTAATTGTGTAAATGAAGTTTTACTTAGTAGCCATAGTCCGGAACTACGTAGTATATTTTTGACTTTTATTTTTGTGAATTTCTGTGGCGACGCGGATATACGGATTGTAGTTCAGATAATTTTAGGAAGTTTTTGGATGCTGCTAAGGAATTTTGTGTGCCACAGACTGAAGACGAACGAATTTCTAAATAAGGTAAGGGGATTTTTGCTTTGTTTAGTGCTAAAATACATAACAGGTTTTTTCCTTTTTTGTGTTATTTTATTTTTTGGTTTAAAATGCAACTTATTGAGGTTTTTTTTTTTTTTTTTTTTTTTTTTTTTTTTTTTTTTTTTTTTTTTTTTTTGTTTTTGTTTGCCTCTACTGTAGAATTGAGTGCTCCTTTGACTTTTAAGTTAAAATATGTCGATGTGTACATGAAAAAACTCAAGGGAGTGCATAAAGCATAGTTTGTACAATTCGGGGATTTTTTTTTTAAAGTGAAAATAGGTCGATGTGTACATGGATACCGAGTTTGTGCAATTCTTGTTATTTTGGCTTGCGTAGTGGCAATTTTTTCACCAAAAATTGCTGCTACACAAGCCAAAATAACAAGTCAAAGCATTGCACAAACTTGGTATCCATGTACTGCCAAAAATCGACAAGTTTCACCAAGGGGTACCCTAAAATATACTTTTACCAATAAATGTAATTGATCCTCTATGCAGCTATAACAGTACCTGGCCCTCATATGCCTTCCAGTAATTTCGAGAAGTAAAAGAGATTTTTAAGTAGCTGGGGGAAAACTATATGAGAGCTTCAGTTTTCAGTTGTTAGTTCAGAGGTGAAGCTGAAGTATTGAGATATCTGAGAGAATTTTGCCTTTTAGAATATGCTTTACATTGTGGTGCATTTAATGTTTTAATACTTTGAAGTGCAACTACTGATTGTACCCTGTAATACTGTGAAGAGCTATATGACTATATTTGTGGAAAGTTCTAGAGCTGTGAACTGTTTCTCTTGGTAAATTAAATTTTATCAAGTTATCATCAGTTTTCTTTGCATTAAATCTACTATGAACCCATACACACACAATAATATCTTGCCACTGCCAGAAATAAAAACATCTTTCTTTTCTTTACCAGCATGTTACCATTCAGAAAAGCACAAGGTATTTAATTTTTAAATTTAATTTATAACAAATTAAGCAATTAAAAAGTAATAAACTGAGTTCTTAATAATGAAATTATATTAGCTGAATTCCTTAAAAATTATTACATACTATAATTTTTTTTTTAATAATAACTATTTTATATGGCTAGCCATGTAAGCAAGCTAGTTAAATTAACCCCTCAAGTGGCATGACCACCTTTATTCCAGTCATGAAATTTCTTGTTATTAAATATATAGTACCTTATTATTTAAAATATTTTGGTTTCTTATTTTGCTTAAAGATCTGTATATTATCTTAATGAATGAAAGCTTACAGAAATAGAGACTAAAATAACTCATTGCACAAACTTAACATGTGCATGCTGTTTAAATACAGTTTTTCACTAGCAGATTTAAAAAAAAAAAAAAAAAAAAAAAAAAAATGCCACTTACAGGGTTAGAAAATAAAGCATATATTTCTTTCTTTAAAATCAGCATTCATTTCTGCACTCTATAAAACATGTGAACAAAACTTTTAAATATGATGACAATGAGCTTAGATGCTTACTTTGTAACATAGTTGAAAGTGAAGTGAGCAGAACTGAAACGAATTTAGCAGGATCACAACAATAATGCGAATCAACTAAATGAACTGCTGATAACATGAAGCCTGACTTCTGTAAAAATGACACAATCCTTTGCATAGACTTATGGTGAGTGTAAAGTTCAACCTATAAAATAATAAAAATAAGTAATAAAATATTTTAACCTACAGATTAATACAGATAAGTATATAATATTCATGTGTCATTAAAAAAAATAAAAATTTATTGTGAATTACAAAATTATCCAAATAAATTTTATTCATATTTTTACCACTAGATATCATTAGAGTGTTTCAATATGAATGTTAGTTATTAAAATTTGCTTCTAATAATGAAAAAGAATTTCTTATTACTATCTTAAATACAATTTTCTACACTGATAAAACTTTGGACTGCATTTCAATCTGTTTTAAACCTGTGGTTTTTTCTAGCAAGAGGAATAAGAAAATAATAATTTTCTTCACCCTGAACTGAATCAGACAGGCTAGGAGTAGTACTAACAAGAAAGTATACTACACAGAGTAAGTAATAAAGTTAAAATTTTACAACTGTTTCTTGGGTGAATAATTTTGCCAAAAAATTGTTGCATTTTATTAATTTTATTTCTCTACATTGTTTTCTCTGGGGATACTTAAAGATATATACAAACAATCTGAATACAACCAGGTAGTTCAACATTTAATTCTCTCAGTGCTATGGATGTAAAATTTTATATAGAAGGGTGGCTTTCATATTCATTATACATGAACATTTCTGCTAGATTTTAATTCTTCTGATTTCAGGTTGGATGTATAATGGAAGAAAAGTAATCAAAGTACAGAGCCGTTTTTTGATAATGTTTCAAGAAAATACCATTTATTCATGACATTTTCAGGAACTGTCAAATTTCAGCACTAAACCCATAACGCTTGGAGGGTTAAACAAAATAAAGACAGAAAGAAGAAAAGAACATATAGTTGAAACAGAATATGATTATACTTATATTGTGCCTACAGATGGTTATTTGATTTATTTTATACATCACACATTGCTATAATGTTAAAATAAACTATTCATAAAAATATATGTATATTTATATACTTTTAAAGCTATTTAAAAAAAAAACAAACAGTAACACTTTTATGATAGCCTGCATCTTCAAGACAGTACAATTTTACCAATTAAAATTCCTTCCTATTGAAATAACACATCAAGAATTAAAACACAGAAAAATTTATATACAGAGAATATAATTAATAAATATAAAATGTCAGTTTCTTTCAAAGAAAATATTTACCTGGCCAGGACAATCAAATAAAAAATAACAATCACTAAATTTTTTGAGTTCATCTAAAAGCCAATCAATTTTCTTTTCCAGAAATTCCATACAATAAATTAAGCCTCCATTTGGTCCAAGTTTCACACGTTGCATCACATTTTCTACAGTGATTAAATCAGAGACATCAACATTTGCTTCATATGGAAGAACATCATTAGCAGGATCAAGATTTACTACTGCAACTCTTCTTCCAACTCCCCTTAAAAATTCACTCATTCCTTTGCAGTAAGCAGTTTTTCCTGATCCAGGTGGGCCAATTACAAGCTGTCCAAACTGCATCTCTTACTGAAAAAAAAAAAGTCTATGTCAGTGCATTCCTTAAAAAGATTATTAGTACTTATGTATTATCCCACTGATCATGAAATCATATGATTTAGTGCCAGTTATGGATATGCGTAATGTAACATGACATTCATAACATCTGCATTTTCATTTGATGTAGCTTCCACTGATTCTCACTGTGCCATCTTTTGTTTTTATGAATTATGATATAAATTATCTGCTACTGTTGTACTTTTTTTTAACTTGGATTGTGAAAAAAATTATTAAAATTTGGGACCTGCCTGCTACAGAACAGCAAACAAGGGGAAAATTATGGGATCCTACCATCAAAAAAGGTTCGTATTTATGGACATGGCACGGTCAAATGAATATAGCCGATAAAACAGCAATAGAGTGAAACAATTTTGTGCAGGAAGTGTGTATACATAGCATTCTAAACAGAGTGTTCAATAAAATAGGAGGGCCTAATAAAATAGAGAAAATGGACGAAAACATTTTTATAAAGTGTAGAAACAAATTGAATTGAATGCTGATTGTTTAGTAAATAAAGGGGCATAAGTTTCTTTACAATTAAGCAGGAATGAATGGCACAAATTTGGCAGGATATCTACCAAATTTCATGGTTTGATGGTAGCCAACTTTTATGGTGAATGGAACGATATTAAGCACCAAATTATTTGTATAATTCAAATGTTACAAATCCTACAATAAAAATAATTTGTTATGGCTACAGGTAGGAGAAGAATGTCGTATAACACACATACAACAGAACCTTTACTAACTCGGCCTCTCTATTAACTGACATCTCTGACCCAGCAACCACTTAATTAACAGACCAACTAAATTAACAGAAGAATGACATCTTGCAGTCTAAAATAAGCATGAAAATAAAATATATTACATGTAATATATATAACAAAATTACTATTACTTAATACTATCACAAAAAATTACTCTTTTTTGCATCAAATTATAAATTAAAAATAGTAAGCATCTTAGATTTAAAAAAGAAGAAGAAATGAACCGATGATATCCAGGTGGCAGAAATATAATAAAACAATTTAAAAATAAAATACTTTGCAAGTTAAAAATTTGGCAATTAAGTTTGCCAATTTTCCTAACTAATATTTCGATTTTGACGTGGCTACTTGAAATAAGAAGTACCACATTTCTTCATTCTCAGTTATTATTTTTACTAAATTTGGTTTCATATAACTACCATATTAATTCAGGTATTACAAGCATATTAAATAATTTCTTCTTCTACTTAAATTACAATCTTCATCAAGACCTCTGAATGCTCATCCTAATCGATATGATAATTTTTAATTTATATTATTCTAACTCTTTTTGTTCCATGATTTTCTTTGTATTCTCTCCATTGCAATTAATCAGTAAAAATTCTATTTAAAATTTTTAATCTTTTAATTAAAATATACACTCTTAAACAAAAACAAAAAAAAAAAAGGGGGGGGACTCGCCAAGAAGGAGTTATCTGAATGGGACGAAAATCGGTAGAAGTGATTTAAATGTACAGAAAAACAAACTATTACAGTTTGATAAAAATTGGACGATTTATTGAAGTGATATAGCTTCACAAAGTGAAAAAGTCAGTAACATGTTTGTCCACCTCTGGCCCTTATGAAAGCAGTTATTCAGCTTGGCATCGATTGATAGAGGTTGCAGATGTCCTCCTGAGGGATATCGTGCCAAATTCTGTCCAACTGGCGCATTAGATTGTCAACATTCCGAGCTGATTGGAGGGCCCTGCTCATAATGCTCCAAACATGCTCAATAGGAGAGAGATCCGGCGACCGCGCTGGCCAAGGTAATGTTCGGCAAGCACTAAGGCAAGCAGTAGAAACATGTGCAGTGTGGGGGTGGGCATTATCTTGCTGAAATGTAATCCCAGGGTGGCATGACATGAAGGGCAACACAACGGGCCTTAGAACTTCATCGACAAACAGCTGTGCTGTGTCACAACCAAACGGGTCCTACTATGAAATGAAATGGCATCCCAGACCATCACTCCTGGTTATCAGGCCTGTCTGTCAGAATACAGTCAGGTTGGTATCACACTACTGTCCAGGGAGTCTCCAGACTCGCCTTTGCTGGTCATCGGGGATCAGTTCAAAGCGGAACTCATCACTGAAGACTATTCTACTCCAGTCAGTGACATTCCAGTGCGAATGAACCCGACACCACTGTTAATGGGTTTGACGTTGTACAGAGGTCAATGGTAGTCGATGCAAGGGGCACCGTGACCTCAACCCCCTTTCTGCGAGCCATTATAAATGGTCCATGCAGTCACTGAAGCACTAGTTGCACGTACAATCCATGATAATGATGCATCTGGGGCAGTGAGTGCCGCTCTGACGATTGCTCGGTCTTCATGTTCTATCGTTTCTCTAGCCTACCGCTTATCGCTTCCTTCTTGACGCTGTGTGCAGGCCATGGCTTACCCATTCCTGCCAACATCGTCTAATAGTAGCATCGCTCCTGCTCAAATGTTGAGCTATTCGGAGATAAGACCAACCGGCTTCTTTGAGCTTCAACTTACACGACCCTCTCAAATTCTAACATTTGCACTTATCGTTCGCGCACCTGTTTGCGAGGAATAGTTACTGTCTACTAGAAGTATACGGAATTAAATTCGTGAAGAATTTATGATCTGGAATCGTAATTTCTCCTCAGAAATATCTTGCCAGTGGCGCAGATCAGATGCGCTTAGCGAAAACTGTTCATTCATTGGCAGCCAAAATGTAATATTTTGCATTTTCCGTCGAAACCTGTATACTATCAATTTGTGGTCCCATTTGCTTTATATCTTCTCGGTGTGTCGTCTTTTTTTTTTTTTTTTTTTTTTTTTTTTTTTTTTTTTTTTTTTTTTTTTTTTTTTTTTTTTTCTTTTTTTTTTTTTTTTTTTTTTTTTTTTTTTTTTTTTTTTTTTTTTTTTTTTTTTTTTGTCTAAGAGTGTATAACTTTTTTTAAAAAATTTATTGTTAAATGCTGCAGTATGAAGCTGCAATATGTATATTTTCAATTTGCTTTGAAAACTTTGCTTTACATCATAATTTATGAATTTTCAATTTGATTCTCATGTCAAAACGTTTTGCAGTATGTACAGTTGTTGGTTTTAGAAACAGCCAATCTCTCTTTTCTAATTTCATTTGCTTTCAAACAGTAAGTGATCATATGCAAGATCTCTGTGGCACATCTGATCCCTATTCTCATACATTGCTCATTATTATAATTCACACACTTTTCAATAGGTTTGTTAATGGGTTCCAAACTCTACCACTCTATAAACTTTAATAAAAATAAAAATTGGAGAGAAAATCATATAAATGTTCTTGCCAAACAAAATGTACACTCACTGGTACCATCAAACAAAATTAGGCTTTTTTGTTTAAATATGAATAAAAAAAGTCTATAAACCAGCATTTTCCAAATGATATTTAGCCATTCCCTAAGACTACAAAAAATATTGCAGTTATGTTATGTTTGGTAAATGAAATAATGTTACAATTCAGTTAATTTTACTACACTAAACCGTCTTTGTAATTACAATCCAGTACAAGTATAATATATTCTGAATAATGTGACAACACCTATCTTCATAAAAAAACACTAGAAAATGATGCACAGAAGGCTGTGATAGAATGACTTTATGAAAATGGAAAAATTTGGGATGAGGAATTAAATTATGCTTATTAAAATGTATATCATTGTTTCTGTTTCACTTTTTAAATATGAACTGGATTTTACAGATTATGGGAAAGCACATGAGGGTCAATCTGAGTAAGAGTAAAAATGCTCTCATGCAAAAATTCTTAAGGGAAACTAGATCATATTCATAACACTTAATGGCAAACTATGAAACTGTTATTAATGGCAGCCAGCAGGTGCAGGATTTACGTACAAGCTATGCAAGCTATAGCTTAGGGTCCCCACTTTCATCGGGGGGCCCCAAAAATTAAAATATAGTATAAATATACTATTAAAATTTAGTATAACTGACATATAAAGGGCCTCGTATCTCAAATAGCTTAAGGCCTTATCATGTTTAAATTCGGTTCTGCAGACAGCCCATTTGCCAGAATTACAGCCTGAATTGTATTATCACTGTTCCATGGTTTTATCACTCGGCTGTTAGTCAGCTGCACTTAAGACCATATAACTAATGTCTTAGTATCATAATAATGATTTATTAAGACCAAAATCATGTTATATTTCTCCTGGCAGATAAAGTGACTTTGTTTTAGCAGGGCTGGTTTAGGGACTCCACAACACTGCAGTTGTGGGGCTCCAAGCTTAATAGAGGCACTATCGTGAATAAATATTAAAATGTAATCTAAACTTTTTACTGAAACAATACTTTGAATTTCTGAAATCTTACTTGTACTGAGCACTTTAAAGTATTAGACTGTAATCTGAGAAATTCAGAACCTCAATTCAGAAACTGAAGAATTCAGAATAATTTATAATCAATAAATATTACAATATTACAATGTAAATATTACAATAAATATTACAATTATGGTATTCGGATTATGGGTATCAATATTTTTTTTTTATCACTATATCCTATGTAGAAGATGAAGCCTTTACTTCTAATCGACACATAATTTGTGCATAAACATTACTTGCTTTCTAGATTAATTAATGCAAATATTGTGTAGATATACAGACATACCTTAATGGATAAATTAATATTACTTGTTTTTTTACTTATTTTGAATTGTAAAAAATTTTACACTAATTATACTTGCAAAAAATTGTGTTTCATTTATAGCACATTTTCATACATGATTTGAATAAATTATCTGGCATAATTTTGCTTAAAAACAGAAATAGTGAATATTATGCATTCATAAATAATTTCTGCTTTAAAATATAATTCCATAAAAAATTCTTCATACTTGATCTCTGAGCCAATTTTGTGTGTATGTATGATTTTTACAGTCAAAAGTCATTAATCCGGACTCATCGGGACTTCGGCA